ATCTCTTTTATCATGTCTGCAGTCTCTGACTATTTCTTGTATTATGCTTGCAGTCTTTGACCATCTCTTGTACCATGCCGACAGTCTCTGACCATCTTTTGCATCATGTCTGCAGTCTATGATCATCTCTTGTGTCCTGTCTGTTGTCTCTGAATTTATCCTGTACCATGCCCACAGTCTCTGGCCATCTTCTCTACCATGTCCATGGTCTCTGACCATCTCTTTTATCATATTTGCAGTCTCTAACCATCTCTTGTATCATGTCTGCAGTCTATGTATAAGTTCTCTACCATGTCCACAATCTCTGACCATCCCTTGTATCATGTCCGCAGTCTCTGAACATCTTCTCTGCCATGTCTACAGTCTCTGACCATCTCTTGCATCATGTCCGCAGTCTCTGAACATCTTCTCTGCCATGTCCACAGTCTCTGACCATCTCTTGTATCATGTCCACAGTCTATGACCATCTCTTGCATCATGTCCACAGTCTATGACCATCTCCTGTACCATACCCACAATCTCTGACCATCTCTTGTATCATGTCCGCAGTCTCTGAACATCTTCTCTGCCATGTCTACAGTCTCTGACCATCTCTTGCATCATGTCCGCAGTCTCTGAACATCTTCTCTGCCATGTCCACAGTCTCTGACCATCTCTTGTATCATGTCCACAGTCTATGACCATCTCTTGCATCATGTCCACAGTCTATGACCATCTCCTGTACCATACCCACAATCTCTGACCATCTCTTGTATCATGTCCGCAGTCTCTGAACATCTTCTCTGCCATGTCTACAGTCTCTGACCATCTCTTGCATCATGTTTGCAGTCTCTAAACATCTTCTCTGCCATGTCCACAGTCTCTGACCATCTCTTGTATCATGTCCACAGTCTATGACCATCTCTTGCATCATGTCCACAGTCTATGACCATCTCCTGTACCATACCCACAATCTCTGACCATCTCTTGTATCATGTCCGCAGTCTCTGAACATCTTCTCTGCCATGTCTACAGTCTCTGACCATCTCTTGCATCATGTCCGCAGTCTCTAAACATCTTCTCTGCCATGTCCACAGTCTCTGACCATCTCTTGTATCATGTCCACAGTCTATGACCATCTCTTGCATCATGTCCGCAGTCTATGACCATCTCCTGTACCATACCCACAATCTCTGACCATCTCTTGTATCATGTCCACAGTCTCTTAAACAGCTTCTGTACCATGTCCGCAGTCTCTGGCTATCTCCTGTATTATAGCCACAGTCTCTGATCATCTTGTGTATTGTGTCTGCGGTCTATAACAATCTCTTGTATCATGCCCATGGTCTTTGACTATATCCTGTTGTGTGTCTGCTGTTTCTGACACTGAATATTCACTGAATTTTATGTGCACCCCTTTAGAGATGTTGAGGGGCTACACTTGAGCCCCCCATATAGAGAAAGTTGACCCCCACTGATCTTGAAAATGCAAGAGTTAATACAGTAGGCTGCTTGACCAGTCCTAACAGCAGAGATGACATTGTGAATGCTGTTGTTTTTACTGTGTCCTGTTAGTACTTTGTTGCAGTGATATGGCTTTTGGACTTCTCCATTTCTGCGTTATGAATGATCTATTATTCAATAGGTAAAAATGCTAAGTGTCAAAATAATAAGTACACTCCTAGTAGAAGCCACAGCAGCAGGTATACCAGCAGGCCAAAAGTCACAACTGATCTAAACAAGATAACTAAATGTTAATGCTAAAATACAAGCAGATATAAAACACCAATTAGTGCTGTTATGTAGTTATTAAAAAATACAGATATTGTAAATACAACTAGTGTTAGTACCTGATTTTAACTTGTCATCAGCTGCCTGCAATCTTCTATAAAGCAGTGTTTAAAATGGAATGGAAGTAGGCTCAGTATTAGGAGCAAATCCATTATGCTGTGTGTACATGTTATGACAATGAAGGTACAGGTAGAAGGAGAGAATAGAGAGATTACCTCATCAGTCTGTTGCTGCTCCTCTACTGTTCACAAACAATGAAAGCTATGGGCTGAGAGGTGACCAGGCTGTATTGCTTATGAGTAGAAAAAAAAAATAGTGTTGCCAACTTGATTGGGCTGTCTACGTCCTGTAAAACAAATCCCTTAGAAGATAAAGGAGCCCATAAATGTATCCAAACTATCTATTCAGCTGTTTTTCAGCTTTAAATGTTAAACATTAGACAAATATGAGCAGAACAAGAAACTGATTGTGACGGAACGCCTGTCACCCAGATTGGGTGATTCCCTCAGAGATCCCCTTCCTCGCCACTGGGACACAGGACTTTGCACCCAAGACTAGACGACACTAGCTTAGATGCCAAACTGAAACTCTTTATTAAACAGAAAACACCGATTTTTATACAATCCAGAAATAGGGGCAATACAACAAATATTACAAATTGAGATAAATATTCCACACTGATTAGGTAAGAGCTTGATCACAACAGTACAGCCAACAACTAACAGTGATCTAATTAACAGTAAGCTAATAACAGCCAGGCACTCAGACAATGCTTTTGTTAATCAGGGAACCCACCGCAGACAGCCCAGCAACAAACCCACCCCTGAATACACAAAGTTCATTACCATCCGAGTATGCGGTAGGATACTGCATAGCATTTAAAAAAAAAAACGTTTGAATTCACCAAAAAACGCTACTAAAATACCGCATGAGTTATTTTATCAAGTCATGCAGTATTTTATTAGTGAAAAGCATCCATTCCCCACTGACAGCTGAATGTAAACGAAAGAATTGCGGGACGTTAAAAAATTATTTAAAAAACGGCGTGGGGTGCCACCCTCCATCCATACCAAGCCCTTCGGGTCTGGTATGGATTTTGAGGGGAACCCCCATGCCAAAATAGCCCCCCCATGTGAATGCGTATGGAGTACATGGTACCACTACCCATTCACAAAAGAAAAAGTGTAGTGTGGAAAAAGACAGGAGACAGTCTTTGACAAGTTGTTTATTAAAAGTAGAATAATAAAAGAATGCCTCCAAAGTAAATCCAATGTCAATCACGATGCCTGCCGCCACCGCTGCTACCCGAAAAAAGAACAACAAAAAAAAAGGCTCCGGTTCCGACTCTGGCTCCTGCCGTGTGACTGCTCTGCTGGCTTGACAGTTCTTAAATATGTAAGGGGCGGGGCCACCTGGGGACATCACAGGTGTGACCCCGTCCATTGTGGCATTATCAACCCGGGGCATGCTGGGTCAATGATGTCACAAGGAGGTGGGGCCACACACATGATGTTACTGGGTGGCCCCGCCCCTTACATATTTAAGAACTGTCAAGCCAGCGGTGCAGTCAGACAGCAGGGGGCCTGCGTCAGGAGCGGAGCCTTTTTTTTTTTCTTTTTTTGGGTAGCGGCGGCGGCGGGCATCGTGATTGATGTTTCTACTTTCTGATGATCTACTTCGGGGGGCATTTTTTTTTTTTTCTTCTTTTAATAAAGGACTTTTCAAAGACTGTCTCCTATCTTTTTTCACACTACACTTTTTTTTTTGTGACTGGGTAGTGGTACCATGTACTCCATACTCATTCACATGGGGGGAGGGCTGGTCTGGGGGCCCCCTTGCTAAAGGGGGCTGGATTTTGATAAGCCCCCTGCCCGCAGACCCCCACAACCACAGGCCAGGGTAGTGGGGAAGAGGCCTTTGTCCCCATGAACATGGGTAAAGGTGCTAGTAAAACTGTGTGCCCCAGTTTTACTATATAAGTGTACTTATCTTTTTTTGCCTTCCTTTTCCTGACCTAAATTAGCCCACCAGTCAATGCAGAGAAGATATTGGGGTTCAGATGGAAACAAACAGCAAAGTCTGTTGCTACCAGTTTGAGATAAGTGTGTATCTGGGGTGGAGGACTAGCTTAGACCAGGGAAGGCAGAAAAAAAAGATAAGTGCATTTTGTTTTAAAATGTACTTTTTCTTTAATTCAATCCCAACTGCCTTATTTCCTGCTCGCAAAAAAAGGAAGCTCCAAACTGCTCTGGGTTCAGTTCAAGAAAGGTTTAGTAAAAAGTTTGGATGCCAGACCCAAAACCCATTTAAATTAACAGGAGCTGAATCTGTAGGCAGAGTGACCTGCAGGTGGGCACTGACCTGGGGGAACATGCAGCAAATGCAGTTTTTTTTTTTCTTTTAGTTTCATTCAGCTAGGAGCAGTTATTTTCTAAATGCTTAAAGTGCAACAATACAAATGTCCAATTCCTTTATATAACATGTCTGGAGGGTGTCTTAATTCTGCCTGTGAAGGGGCTTATGACTGTGATGTACAGAATGTGCTCCAGCAGCACTGACAATTTTCCAAGGGAAAAAGTTATGTAGCCTCCCTAGCGGTGATTATGTCAGCATTTCTGTGCTCAAAGTGGTACATATTTTTGCATGGAAATATGTATTTTTTTATTGTACACTGTAATTTTTAGGAATAACTCACTGAAATCTATCCGAACAAGAGTCTAGTAAATATCCCGGGTATGATAAAATTGGAAACATGAAAATCGTTTTCAGTGTCTGATGACAAATTCCCCACGAATCATAATCACTCAATTCTGCAAGTAGTTCTAATTTACTATCACTCTTTTCTAGCTGGTCTAAAACCGCCTTGCTTTTTGGACGCCAAGGACATTTCTCTTTTTGGACGCCATGGACATTTTGCTTTTTGGACGCCATGGACATTTTGCTTTTTGGACGCCATGGACATTTCTCAGTTTGAAGGCAGAAAGAGCAGTAAAAATGCAGACAGGGTGTCGGACAAAGCACTAGGGACAAAATGTATGTGAAATGGTTTGATACAGTAATGTTTTACTATGTGATTTTAGTGTATTTAGTGAATGTCATTTTTTCACATTTTTAATTTCCCGCCGTTCCGTCCCCCGTATGTCCTGACATCGCAGGGAACGGAACCCAGAAGACAATGCCGACACTGCAGGAGGGACATCACGGGAGCGAAGGACAAGGTACGTGCAGAAGAGATCCCGAAGCAGCGCTGCAAGGTATTCCCGAGTGTAGCTCAGGGTTACCGCTTGTGGTGCTGAAACTTTACCCTGAGCTACACTCGGGAATACCTCCAGGGAGGTTAAAATGCCAGAAAATGATATTCTATTGGGGGTGCTATGTTGGGATTTGAACCAACAACCCTAGTAAGACCAGACTTACTAACCATTTCCTAGATTGTAAGTTCTAATGAGCAGGGCCCTCTGTTTCCTCTTGTACCAAATTGTATTGTAACTGTAATATCTACCTTAATTTTGTAAAGTGCTGCGCAAACTGTTGGCGCTATATAAATCTGTATTATAATAATAATTTAGCCACTATACTGCCCTAATTTCTGTCAGCTCTTGACATAATCACCTTTCTCCAAATTCTCTGCTTCCTTGCCATTTAGGATATTACCCTCTCATGATTTCCCTCATGCCTATTGGACCAGTCTTTCAATATCTGTTATAATGATAATTCTCCAATACACCTCTCAGTTGATTAATTTCTCAGCTCTGTGTGTTTCTTTATCTGCACAATTTGTTAATTTAGCCTCCAATACCAATTCTATGCAAACAACACTAGGATTATCCAGGAAATCAGTTCAGTTTCTTCACAGACATATAAGATATAAATACATGCAACCTGGCTAAAATGACCTTACCTTTCTTTACTTTTCAGATTCACTTTGTTTCTAACTGCATATAGTACACTCCCTCCACCAGCTGTTCAAGCTTATTGCCTCAGTGATGACCTTGATCAGCCCCTTCTCATCCCTCTCATCCAGAACATCTAGAAGCTCTTTTGCTTCCACTTATCTCTAACACATGCCTTTTTGTAACCCAAAAGACCACCAAAATTCTAGTCCATGTTCTCATAATCTACCACCTTGACTACAGCAATATTCTCCTTTCTGGTCTTCCACTAATGAGACTCTCATCTCTACCATCTATCATGAATACCTGTGCAAGATTTATTTATCTCTCCCACCACTCCTCATCTTCTGCATCTCTCATCGCTAGTTTCATCACTGGCTTCTAATCAAGCTGAGAATAAAATTCAAATTACTATGCTTTGCCTTCAAATCATTTACAGCTCACGCCCCACCTATATGTCAGGCATCATATATGACTATTCTCCAGACTACACTTTCTGCCTCTCCACTGATCTACTAATAATCTCCTCTCTCATAACCATATTCCATGCATGGTAAGATTTCTCTTGGGGAGCCCCATGAACTGGAATTGTATCCCTTGCTCTATTAGACCTGCCCCAACCTTTAAATGTTTAAAGAAACATAAGAGAAATATGAAGGCCTCCTTTGCTAACCTTTACTGGAAATTCTTGTTCCTGGGTCACAATAATGCTTTGAATCCTAACCTTGTTGAGTCTTTGACCCACAACTAGTGTAAAGATAATGAACTGAAAATGAATTCTGACTTCTCTCAAAAGTATGAAAGCCAATAGAAAATGAAATAGCTAAGCAGCTAGCGTTTTGCAAAGGAGGTCAGCAATAGCAGCCTCTATGTTGCTCTCATGACAGGTGCTTATTTACAGATCCTCAAAAGTTTCCCCTTCAAATTTGCCTATCTGTACTGAATGCTTGGTGAATGTCAGGTTCACTACTTTGTAAATATCTTTCTGTCTACCCTACACATTCGCTACTCAGTAATACATCAATAATGCATTTGAAATGGCAGGAGGTAATCAAAAGCAGTATGAAAAAATACAGACAAGATTTTAATAAATAGAGAATCGTGCTCTCCAGTGCTGTGGGGATGGGAGAGAAGAGGTGATTGACTTCACAAGTAATAAATAGTGGGGTACCTTGTGATGTAGCTAAATATGGTACCAAGGCAGTATAAAGTATATGGGTTTATCATAGGAGAAGAAGTGAGTCATCAAAAACACTCAGGAAACACTCTACCCAAGGGTTCCAGACACTCAGAAATGTGGGAATAGTATCTAGTATTGTAGCTTCCACTTTAATGTGAATCATAACCTGTGTAACTTTATTCCTAACTGCTACGATGCTTAGGGAGGGAGATTTCCAGGATTTAGCTATGACCTGTTTGGCCGCCGTGATCAGCAACACTTTTAATGGATGGATCTGGTCAGTAGATCACCCATTCATACACTTGATGTGACAAGCAATGACTTACTAGATCCTGCTCCCAGATTTTAGTTACAGTAAGGATCTGGGCTGCATGGCAGTGACTGCACAGGTAACAATAGATGACATTTTAGGTCACTGAAGTTATGAATTTTAGGATTAATGGGCATATTTATCATACAGGGAATGTGATTTGCACCATACATTCACTGTTGGTTAATCAATCACTGTCATTTAAAAAAAAAAACACTCACCAGGAAGAGTCACCTACCATAAATTTTTGGTTTATTTCAGGTTCACTACTTTGTAAATATGTTCTAAAGTGTGTTTTAACTTTGAACGAAGAGAAGAAGGATTTTTTGCAAAAGGGGCTTCATTCTGAAATTCAGATTTATTGTGGCATTTTAATTAACATATTTTTTTTAAAATAAATAAAGGATGATGTCTACACTTCACATATCATTATTAGAAACAAATTACGCATTTTATCCAAACTTGAAACATTATTCTGAACTGGGTCAACTAGGTATCAAAGCAGATTTTCAGCTGATAAATATATAATATATATAATCCAAGAAATAAAATATAATATATAACTGTTAATATAAAGTTTTTTGCCTCATATCCAACATTTACAATTTGTTCAGATTTGTCTTAGCATTTCCAAAGCTGATGCTCATAGAAGACTAACAGGGTTTGGGTTCAAACACTTTTTATAGAATAATAGGCGTAGAATGTGTAAGTAAATTTAAAATGATCTAGTATGGTTGACTTTATATGGTTATTCAGACAAACACCTAAATACAAGGTTGAAATACTGTTATACTTTTTTAAAACATATTTTTACTATTTTACCTGCAAAAAAATTTGTAATTTTGGGCAGACCTCCCAATGATGGACATACCTCTGACAATTCTTGGTTTTCCAGTGCTGTTTCCTAGGTCAGCTCATTGGCCTGAAATGATAATGATGATTGATTCATTGATAGAATGAGGAGGCTTAAAGGCTAAGTTCACCTTTTGTAGAAAAAAAAAAAATGCACATTTTTATGTAGGTAAAAAAAAAATGTGCATTTTTTAATTTGTTTTTCTAAGGACCCTAAAGAGCATTGCCCCTGTGATCAGCTGATTGCAGGTGCAATGCCAGGCTCCTGCAGACTCTCAGGATAGATGCCTGCCCATACTTCCAATACGGGTACTCACCAGCTCCCTAGCAGTTCACTGAGAACTACAAGCCATCAGCTTCAATGGGTGATGGTACTTGTAGTCTATTCACTCACAGGAAACTGTGAATGAATGACTTCACTTTGTACCTGAAGCCCTACTGTTTTCAAATTGTGACAGCTGGTGGGGGGAGGAGATCCCCCACCTACTGTTACAGGGATGGGGGGCTTGGGGGGAGAGGGGAAGGATGCTGAACATGTAAAACCTTACAACGGTTGTAACCTGTAACCTGTTCAGAAAGGTGACCTTAACTTTTAAGGTAAAGGGGTGACATAGAAAGATGCATGAAGGAACCAGGAAAATTAATTTTTTCTCACCTGGTCGGAGTGTGGAAAAGTGTGTAATTAATTAATATGAACGTACAAGACTACACATCCTTTGGCATGTAAAAAAGCAAATATATGTATTTCAACTGCATATTTAACAGCTTGCCTGGAGTTTTGCTTCAATGTAGCTGAGACTAATAATGGCGGAAACAGAAGGCTGCCCCTGACTGTTAGACTAATAATTTCACTGAGCAATGATGTGTTACCAAGCTAATGTGGGATACACAAAGGTCCCAACCTGGATCTTGTGAAATTTGGCATTCAGCTTTGCTAAACTAAAATCTTGCTGTAATTATTCGGGGGGGGGGGGGGTGGGGGGGGGGGGGGGGACTGTCCAGTATTTTTATCTTTCCCTCTTCAAGCATTGCTAAACACCAAGACCTCATAGCATTTTGATAGTGTATTTCCACCTTTGCAGCCAAATTGGGATAATATCTACTTTATATTTGTTATGTGACACTTTTTTTTACCTTTTAACAGGCTGTTTTCTGAAAACTCCAAAACCTAAAAAATCCTATTTAGCAAACCCCTTCTAAGTAATGTTTATGAAGGGGACCTGGGAGGTATGTTTATTATAAATAACCCTGTATTTACTGTTCAGGGCCCTGCAAAAAAAAAAAAAACATATACTCTGTAATATTATAGTACAAAATCCTTTCTTATGGTAAAAAAGATACATGTTTTAGTTGTACAGTACACGTGATTTTTAGTTATTACCATGGATTATATGCAGCTGCCTTCAGGAGATTGGACAATGGCAAAAAGAAAGCAGCTGGGACATCCCCATTATAACCACTGAAGCAAACGTGCTCATCAGAGTTGGACGCGAGTTCCCCTTTTTTCTTTTATTAGAAGTATTCCTCAATCCTTCCTTCCCTACCCCCTCCCTTCCTGAGAGGCACAGGGACAGCCTGTGTTTAAAGTTGCTGGCAGGCTAGAACAGCAGGGGGCCCAGAGCAACAAAGCCCCACCATGAAGCCAGAGACTGGTTGTCCCTAGGCCTGTGAAAACTCACCCCTCCTAATCAAGATAAGATAGTTTTTCCTGGGACTTGAAAGAAGTTGAAACCTCATAAAACCTACCAGCCAGGTGACAGAAGTTAAATGTCATTCCTCAAGTCAGGTTTTTTCCCCTGTGTTTCATGTCATGGATTATGACAGATGGTTCTAATTCAGAGTTCTCCCGACTGACCCCTCCCAAAACAGCGTATTGGCAAGTTACTCAGCGCCACCCCCCTTGCTGGGGGACTTTTAAAAAACACAGGCCGTAGGCCTAAAGAGAAGCAAAAACACATCTCCTGAGCTTAACATCTTAACAGAGGAGATCAAAGACCCTTTCTGCTCTGCAACTTGGATTTGCTTACAAACCAAGGCATAT